CTCTCTCTCTCTCTCTCTCTCTCTCTCTCTATCCCGCGGGCTATCCTTCCCGCGTCGTCCCTGTCGTATGCGAATACGTGTGTTTGTACTCTCGGCGACACTTCTCTCAAACTTCCTACGCTGAATCGCTTTGTGCAGAACGTTCGATGGAAACGGAAACGTTGGATCAGCCAATAAGACGATTAGTGCGCGCTTCTGGCCTCGACCCTTAACGCTGAAACGCCGGAAATCGCCGCGCGCGCACATTCCGGTGTGATCTACCGTAAGAGATCGACCGTCTACTGCTCGGGAAGATACTTGGGATACTTCAGCGAATACCACCATTTACGGCGACACGATGCTCACGTCCCGAAATATGCATTGGAATTTACGTCTATCCTTCCGTACGGTTAAATAGGAAGAGTCATTGTGCTCTGTGTCGTTACGTCGGTTTTATTTTAATTATTTGTAGGGAAGTTAGGAAAAAAATAACTATAAATTCCTCTGTATATGATAAAAGCAAAAAGTACCCTTTATGTCTTTTTTATTATTTATTTAAAATTATTCTTTTATTTTATTTATTTGTAATTAAATATAATTTCAGACCATTCAGATCAATTAATATGTAAATAAATTGATCAAAAAGTGTGTTATTCTTTTTCTTTTTATTTTTTCTCTTTTTATTTGTTTTTTTATTGAGATATACATATTCGTGTTCTGGAAACTGGACCCCTCTTGCACACGAAAGGATTGCAACAACTGTAATTGTTACTCAATTAAATTATTACATACTGTAAACCATGTTGATATCTTGTTTTTCATTCATGATAATTCTAGAACCTAAAGGCATGGATAAAAAAGACGTATATGATTATTCTGTGGACGTTGTTCTGTCACGTAAACCACGTGTGTTACCACAGAAATTTACATTAACGACGTAACAGTTCCATAATTTTGCCACGCAATATTGCGCGTTTGTTATAAACCGCATGTATAATGTTACCTTTGACCATCAGTACCTAATTTATTGCCCAGAGGGAAATCATTTCTAACTGCACGGAACAGGACAATCTATACTTTCATCGCGATGAGATATTTAAGGAATATAAATGTTAGATTCTTTTGCCTTTAATAAACATTGAACTTATAAACTTTAATACGACTCATTAGGTCAAACAAAGATTACTTTGGCCTGACAGAAATATATCGGTATTAATTAATTACACACTTGCCAAATGATTAATTTTTTTCTGTTGCCTGTCTCTCCGTTTGTTTCCTCCCGGAAGATAGTCCTCCAAAAATTGGGAAGATATTCCGCGAGCAATTTGCACTACATAACGTTATTTTACGCATTACGCAAATGACTACGTTAAACTCGAACGAGAAGCCAAATCGCGCCGCTATAATACGGTATTAAATTGAAATAATACGTACTAACTAAATTGAAATTAACTCCGCAAGCATTGGTAAATTCATTATCGATGTATAATAGTATCGAAACGTGTGCTGGCCGATACATTTCGTGTATCAAAGGAAGTATTAAATCCCGGCGAGCAGTCACTCTATTACGCTTAACATCAATACCCGTCACATCGACGCGACCGTATGTATTGACCGTGTTTGTTCGGTAACCGGCGGTACCACGGCGAAATATCGCCGCGGGCGAAAACGAATGGGAAACAGAGCGGAAAAGCGCGTAGACGCCGGGCGGTTTGCCAAGCGGCGCCGTCCCTTTAATTGTTAGCATATTTTAACCGTAATTTTCCTCTGTTCCAGTTGTCTGAGCCCGAGATCTGCGTTCTTCTACGAGTTCCCTCCTAACGGTAAGTCGCGCCTAGACTTCGCAGCTTCATTTGTCTCTGCTCAAGATTTAAGAGGCGCAAAGGAGAAAACTCGAGCCTCCGTCGCTTCGTCGCTCCGTCCTTTCATTTGCGAAGCGAAACTGGAACGCGTACACGAGTTTACAAGTACTATTTCCGCGAGTGCCGTATTTTTACCTGACGATTAATCCAGATATCAAGTGACATAGATGCACTTTACATTATCATTAATGCGAATAAAATGTTTGAGATAGATAACCCTGTCAAATTATTTTATTAACCGTAATTTGCCTGCATGCCATAATTGCTGAGAAAAAAAATGCAAAAGCGTTACAGAATTACTAAAAAACACATCAACATATGTATTCTAAGTATTATTATTCTGACTGACTACTTTATTATCGTTAAAAAAATACTGCTTGTTGCACGTAATTTTTATACGTCCTGTTACGAGGAATATACTTCACACAAGTGTCATGTTATATCCGGTTTAATTATCATAGCGTTAATGTTACATCTACGTTATCAGAAAATCTCAGTTATCACATATATTATCTCCATGGTTTCAGCTTTCCATGACAATACAACGTAAATCACGGTTAATAGACGACCATTTCGAACACGGAGTCCTCAATTACGTTCTTTCTCTTGATTTATTCGACATGCTCGCGGTGTAGAAATCATTTTATGAGAACGCCGTAACTTCGTAATGGATTGAGAAAATTGTGCTAAGGTACGAGGCTTACGAAAGAAGCCAGCTACATCAGATTTGAATGTGGGGATTTATTTAATGCATCGATTGCAAGGCTTCGCATGATTCCCATAGCGAGCGCATGTACACGAGGCACGGACGCGATTTCTAAAGGGCTAAGATATTGTACACGTTCCTACCAGTAAAATATATGTAAATGGACATACAATGCAATCGCAAACGGACACTGCCTTTCTTAACCTACGCGACAACTACATTGTTACGTGGGAATGTCGAGATAGAATCGTGTGCCACGTGCCTTGGCTTAGCGACTACCGCTTTTTTTTTTTTTTTTAAATAGCTGCAGCTGATATTGTGTTCTACGTATCGGACAGTACCGTTGTCTCGTGTCTCATCTGTTATACAAAACGCAGATAATACCGATCGAGGAACGCGTAATCCCACATTCAAACCGGAAGAAGTCCTTCGATGGCTTAACTTGCGGTTGCCTATAGCTTCGTAAGCTTCTTAACATTGCCGAGACTGATAAAGTTATTATTCTTGCGAATCTACTTACAATGAAAACTTAAAGGACTATTTCAGTGCAAATTTGATATCTGCGCAAAGTGACAGGAATTGATCTTGAATATAACATGAGAATGTAGGAGCTTTAATTTCCATAATATTATATATCCGCTTTTTGAAAAATATATTTAAAAGTTCCTGTCTACTGAAGCAATTGACATCGATGCGATCTAATAAATAAATTTTGATAATTAATTCTTTGTTACTAAAAAAAATTCTCATGAAATCAGTTTTAAGATACAGTGTAAGTCTTTTTCTCTCGATTCAGTAATAGATTTTTGAGATAAAAATGTATATATTGTATAATAGTGTTTGAATTTTATAACATTTTTTTTACATGAAGAAATAATAACTTTTTTAAGATCAAGTTTTAATTCTTGCATTCATACTTCTTGCTGTATTGCATTCAAAATTTTTGATTCAAACATAATTTATTCACATTTCCGAGTTGAGAGCGCAGAGTAATAAGCGAATCACCAGATTGAGTAATTAAAGTAATGGAGAAAGCGTGATACATCGGTCATTTATTAATAATAAATGGATTTTTGCGTTTAAAATGTGTTGCACATGCAATAATAGATTTCAACTTTATATTTTTGAATGATTTGCCGTTAATGTGATTTAATTAATTGCACTATATTAGATTTAATTAAACGCAACGTATTTTTGAGATTATTGGTCATAAATCAGTTTTATTCTTTAATTTGTTATAATATATCCATCATGTTTTATTAGTAACTTGATTTCATATCACTTGAAACAGAAATGTTTGATAACGTGAAATTTAATAACTGTCATTGCGTATTATAACATTGCGGAGAGTTTCACAACATACAATATTTTAATGTCGTCAGATAATTTACGAGAGTAAATAACCATACCTCTTTCCTCATTCAGTTGAATACAATCTCACTTGATCTTTAATTAAAATATGACTATTTATTTGTATCTCTAGAAACTTTATTCCCGAGTATCACACATTCGATATGCTTTTTAATAATATTTGTGTAACGATTATAAATAGATCTTAGTCGCAACAGTCACATTTCCACGTCAACTTGTGTGACTGAATCTGCTGTAAAAAATAAGGCATTTCTGAATGAATATTTACTACTATCTGATATCATTCGTATATCATATCGCATGTAAGAAATATTTGAAGTTACGATTGTATTTTTCTTCGAGGAGCAGAGTATTCAGGCCCACCACCGATTTTCGCCGGTGAGATACGCGCTCGAGAAGGTAGTTATATTACTAGCGCACATGCAATCGGCCTTGTGCGCCCGGGAGAGAAGAAATAAAACCAAGAAACGGAGAACGCGCGCCGTGGCGCGGCGGAATTTTTCGAGATATCGAAAAACACTTTAGATCCCGTATTGGAAAGGCAGTTGGGAGAGGATGGCGGGTCCAAGGGGAGCCTAGCGTTGATATTTCATTTCTATTGACTTCTACCCGCCACCCTGTACGTTATATACCTTTTCCAGCTATGAATATATAATTGAGATAGAGCACTCTCTCTTTCTCTCTTCCTCTCTCCGCGCGTATTTCCCGATCGCTCACTTATTTTTAACACTGATTCGCTTTTCATTTTTATTTTTTTCCTTTCCAATTGAGTTTTTGATTATTTCGATCGTGTGGAACGCGATTAGTGTACTTATCGAACGGTGCCATTGTAAAATATTTTAAACCATACTCCGCGCATTCGTCATCAAATACAAAGGAAGAAATCTACTACGTCATAGCAGAATAAATGTTACTATTGATCTCATCGTAGCTTAAATTTCAAAATTCCTCGTGTCGAAATTCGACGTGCCGAATGCTCAACGGCACGTCGTTGACATCCCCCGACTCCTCTTTCAACGTTCCTGACCAGCGCCGAGCTTCTCGGGCGCCCTCGTGAAATTCTCGATCTTGCCCCTCACGGCACGGCGGAGATACTCCGTTGAATCGCGGGGACTAATCAGTTTAGGGCAGAAACGCGCGAAGCGGCGCGCGCTTAACAGTAATTCCGTGTAAGAGGCGTCGATGCCAGGATTGCTGCAGCACTTAGCAGTTGTCGCGTGGTACACAACGGCGGGAGACCAACCGAACCAGAGCCGAACTCGAACCCCGAGCGGGGGGAGTTGCCGGGATACGCAAATACTCTCGCGCGGGTTGTGCTTGTTTGGCGAAACGCGCGGACTGTGAGAGAGCAAGCCTGTTTGTCTGGACTGGAATCCAAGTAAGAGGCGGCCAAACGGAGGTAGGGTGGTGTGAGAGAGAGAGGAGGGGGAGGATAGGGAGGAAGTTAGGGAAGTGCGCTTATCCTTGCATAGCGTATGCGACTGCATCCTGCTCTTCTGGGATAGTAATGCACGCTACTAGTGCCGGTATCCGTACTGGGATGAATCTTAATGAATACATCCTACGTTTGTACGTAATATGACGAATTTGTCGAGATGACAGGCGCGTACCTTTCCAAGTAAGAATAATCGATGAACGATATATCCGAAGAACTTTTATCATAATACGTGTTACATAGCATATACAGGGTATTTTAAAAAAATAGAGATCAATTCTTTGAGATTCTTTGGAGATCTCAAATCGAGAAAAAAAGTTGATGTGAACGTAAATCCGGTGTGTATGTTTTTTTTTTTTTTTTAAATTGCTATTTTTATGTTGAAATGTTAAATCGCTTGCTTTTGAATTTGTTCGTCAAAAATGAAAAAAAGGGATAATCTTTATGAGTCTTATAATATAATTAAAATTAAATAAAAGTTGCAGGTTTCTTTAACACTACACAGGATGCATCGCATGGACATACAGGATCTCTTGCAAAGATCAGGATTTCAATTGTGCATTCTGAATAATGTTTAAAACAATCCGCAATTTTTATTTGACGTTAATTATGTTATAAAACCCATCTCTTTTTTCAATTTTGACAAAGAAATTTGAAAGTAAAGCAATTACAAATTTCAACGTAAAAATGACGATAATTTAAAAACAATTTTCTATCTATGTTCATATCTATGTTAATATAAGTTTTCTTTCTTGTTTTTGTTTTCCTCATTCATCTTTCGAGTGATTGGCTTCGACTTACACATCCTATTATATGTAAGAGTAGAATGATCGTATAATTGAAGCCAGATGTTTCGAAAAAGAGGATTGAGAATTAAGTTATCATGTTTAAAGAAAATCTGTTCCGGTACACAATACAACAATTGATGATCGCTTTGATAATAATGAAGATCTTAACATAATTATTTTTTGCATATTTTAAAAAAGGAAAAAAGACGTTGTTGAGCATTGCCATTATTTCCAGAACAATGTTTACAGATTATTGTAGCAGATACATTGAATATTCTTCCGTGACGAAATACAACTTCTGCGAAGTAGAATCTAACTAGAATGACATGCTTATCCTCCGTGCAAGTGCATTTCGCCAACGTCACGTTTCACTTACTGTGACGGTTGCACCGGAACCGATGATAGTGTGTCGTTGTCCTTCTCGCATCTCAAGCCGTGAAATTCCGTGTGGAACTAGCGAACATCGGCTGTTCAAATAAGAAATAACAATGTGCTTATCCTCGTGAGCTTTTTTGCATATAATATATAGTTACAGAATTTCTTCAGTCATAATGCTTATATCATAATACTTCAGTTCAAGAAGTGATATTAAATGACACGAATAATTTGCTATTGATATTGACAACGATTTTGTATTTCTTATAGCGCCATATGTTGCTAG